CGAACAAAAAGCTTTACAAACGTTTGTTTTATACAAAGAGCTTAATAAAAGCTTGCTTAACTCTCTATAAAAATCTTTTTTAACGAAACAATTCATAAAGCTTTCTTTATACAACACCTTTTGCAAAAGCTTACTTAAAAACAAAGTAATTAATAAAAAGAAGCTTTAAAAAAGATTATTTTATAGAAAAAGCTTGCAGTCTGTGCAATGTTTATAAAAGCTTGCTTGGTACAAAAAGCTTTATAAAGCTTTATACGAAAAATAAAAGAAAGAAAAGCTTTCTTTATACAACACGTTTCAAAAAAGCGTGCTCAATATAAAAAGCTTTAAAAAAGCTTTAAAAATCTTGCTAAAAAGCTAATTTTATACAAAAAGCTTTAGAAAAGTTTGATTCATTAAAAATTCTTTAGAAAAGTATAATTTATTTAAAAACTTTACTTTGTTCAAAAGTCTTTGAAAAGCTTTACTTATATATAAAGCTTTAATTATTCTTGCTTATAAATTCATTAGAAAAGTATTGTTGTTAGTTGTTATTCAATCAAAAAGCTTTGCCAAATCTGTACTTATACAAAAAGCTTTATAAACAATTTACTGAAAAAGCTTTATTTATACAAAAGGCATCTTAAAAGCTTCCTTTATTCAAAAATCTTTTTGTTAAAGCATTCTTTATAAATATCTTCTTAAAGGCTTCATTTACTAATAAAAAGCTTTGTAAAAGCTCATTTTAAAATTCCGTTTATTCATAAAGGTTTCCCTTATTCAAAAAGCGTTGTAAAAGTTTTCTTTATTTGAAAAGTTTAGTAAAAGCTTTCTTTAAGGAAAAAGCTTTATAAAAGCTTCTCTTATTAAAAAGTTGTCTTTAAGCAAAAAGATTTGTAAAAACCGTTTCTTATCTTGTAAAAACTATTTCAAAATATACAGTTTTGGGGGGAAAGCAAATGTAAAAGCTATACTACGCCTTTATATTATATGACATTAGCTTTTAAACATATGCTTTTGCTTGTTGTTGGTTATTTTATTTTTTTCTCATTTATTCGTAAGTCAAGCCATACGAAAAAAAAAATAATAATAAAATAACAAATAAAACAAACTATATACAATTTTTGTTATTATTGATTATTATTAGTATATTATTGAATATTGATCAAGTAGTTGGAATTGCTAATTGATATTTGAATTGAAATTCGTTTATGGCTATAGAACACACACACACACAGCCTAAGAAAAACAAAAAATTATAATAAATTTTTCCACAATAATCATTTAAGATTTGTATGTATGAACAAACAAAAAGATAATAAGGAGAAAAATAAAATTAAAACCGGAAAAATTAATAAATGTTCAATTGTCTATTAAAGGCAACTGCAAACAGCAACAGCAACATAATAATTTATTATGCAAAAAAACTAAAAAAAACACACAAACAGTATTTAAAAGCTTCTAATGAAGTATGGATGTAACGTTTTGGCTAAATTACTTACTAGAGCAAAATTTAAAAGAGACTTAAAACACTTGGGTTGGGTTACTTACTAGCAGCTTAATTGAAGGACGTATTTAATTTTTAATTTTAGTTTGTTTTTTTTGTTTTGTCTTTTAAGTTTTAAGTAAGTGGGTGGGCAATTTTTATGTCTGATGAAGAAGCTAGCGACTTAGTGTTTTATAATTAAAACAAAAAAAAAACTAAGTAAAAACAACAACAATAATACATAATTAGCTTTGAACTCAACTACATACTTATAATAATGTCATAATAATTTATATATGTGTGTACATATGTATTTGTTACTGTAGCTGTTGTTGGCTGTGTACTGCATTTGACCCCATATTGAGAATTTCCCATTAAAATGTAAATATTTCATAAAGAAATTAAATTTATAGTTATGACTTTCTAAGTTCATAAACTCTTTAGAAAAGAACAACAACCAATTCTACCCAAAAAAGAACTCATTCAAAATCATACCAAATTGAAACCCATGACTTCCTACTAAATGAAAACATACACCATATACAAAGTATCATCCTCAACACCAACAACAACAATAACAACATCATCATCATTATTATTATTACTTATTTTGTAGGCTGGTGGTACACTCGACAATATTCCTCCAAAAATTAAAAAAAATAAGCGCCACAGCCTCAGCATCATACAACTATTATTTGAGATTTCTTTACCAAAAAAAAAAATATCACAAAAAAACAATTTTTATATGAATTAAAAACTCAAGTACACGCATGATGCAAACAATTGAATTAAAGTTCTTTTATAGAAAAAAATCACAACAACAAGAAATCAGTTTTATTTTTATATAGAACAATTCAAACAAGTACCCCTTTGATATTTTTTCGGCAGCCTGGCGCATGCTTCTTTTTTTTTCTGTGTGTTTTTGTTGTACAATTTTGTTGATTTAAGTGGGGTCCGTCCGGCAATATCTTTTTTTATTATTGAGCAGCAGTGTTTTTTTTTTGCAAAGTTAATCAAATGTCTGTTATTTTTTTATATACATATGTACTTGTGTTATTTTTTTTATTATATTTTGTTGGTTAATTGATTTTTTTTCGTTTCGTTGTTATTGAATTGTAGACTTTATTAAAGGAAATTTTCAATTATTAGATGTTAAGATAGACAAAAAGCAAAATATTAAATGAAATGACGCGATTTGATGGGAACACAAAAAAAAAAACTATTTAATTGCGTTCCAGCATAAATTAAGGAACAATATTTTAAAGTACAGACTAAGTAGGTAGAAAACTAAAAGCACTAAGCAAAAACTTAAAAAAGCTTTTAAGTTTTATTCAAAATGATGAAGTACTCCAGCAAATTGTATTTCATTTCAACAATATGTTCAAATTGACTATCTGAAAAACTTAATACACACCAAGCAAAAAGCTTTTTTTTATAAAAACTTTCCTCAATGATAAAGCTTTTTTGTAAAAGGTATGTTTAAGGTTTTTCAAAAGCTTTTTTTTTTTAAATGTATTAAAAAAAGCAAAAAGCTTTTTTTATAAAAACTTTCCTCAAATATAAAGCCTTTTTGTAAAAGTTGTGTTTAAGTAGAAGGGTTTTAAAAGCTTTTTTTTTAAATTTATTTAAAAAAGCAAAAAGCTTTTTTTTATAAAAACTTTCCTTAAAGATAAAGCTTTTTTTTAAAGGGTATGTTTAAGTTTAAAAAGGTTTTTCAAAAGCTCTTTTAAACATTTTTTAAAACAAAACTTTGTTGCAAAAGCTTTATTAAAACCAAAAGACTTTGTAAATGCTATAAGAAAAAGCTTTTATAAAAACTGTTGTAAAACGAAACGCTGTTTTAAAAGCTTTATAAAAGACGTTCCTAACATATAAAGTTTTTTTTAAATTATCGTTATGTAAAAGCTTTTACTAAACTTCATTAAAAAGAAAAGCTTTATGAGAAAAGATTTTTTAAAGGAAAAAACTTATGTAAAATTATAATTAAAATAAAAGCCTTAAACTTCATTTGAAAGAACAGCTTTATGAGAAAAGCTTTTTAAGCTTCATTTACTAAACTTCATTAAAAAGTAAAGCTTTATGAGAAAAGCTTTTTTGAAAGAAAAAACTTTTGTAAACTATAATAAAACTAAAAGTTTTAAACTTCATTGAAAAGAAAAGTTTAATGAGAAAAGCTTTTTTAAAAGAAACAACTTTTGCAAAACTATATTAAAACCAAACGTTTTATAAATAATATTTTCTAAAACTTTCTTTAAACATACAACTTTTTCCGAAATTTTCTAAAGTTTTTTTTTGTAAGTTTTCTCAAATTTTTCTTGCAATACAAAAAAGTTCCCTTAGGTTTCTACAGAAACATATTCAGTAAAGCTTTTGGAAAAGCTTCTACTTTAAAAGATTATTTTATAAATGCATTTTTTAAAACTTTAGTAAAACAAAATGCTGTTGTAAAAGCTTTATTACAAAGAAAAGATTTTGCAAAAGCTTTTCAAACATAAAGATTATTTTATAAAAGCATTTTTTAAAACTTTAGTAAAACAAAATGCTGTTATAAAAGCTTTATTACAAAGAAAAGATTTTGTAAAAGCTTTTATAAAATAAAAAGATTTTGCAAAAGCTTTTCAAACATAAAATGATTTTGCAAAAGCTTTTCAAAGATAAAAAGCTTTTGTAAAAACTTTTATAAAATAAAAAGATATTGTAAAAGATTTTATAAAATAAAAGGTTGTTGTAAGATTTTTCTTTGAAAAACTTTTACTGTTGTCAAATATTTATGGAAAAGCTTTTATATAACGAAAAACTTTTACAAAAACTATTATAAAACAAAAACAGTTTGTAAAAGCAAAAAGCTTTCGAAAAAAAACTTTATTAAAATATAAAGCTTTTTTGCAAATGTTTATTTATATAAAAACTTTTGCAAAACTAAAAAAACAGAGAAAAGCTTTTGCAAAACTATAATTAAACGAAAAGCTTTTGTAAAGACTTTTGTAAAACCTTTCTTTAAACATATAACTTTTGCGGAGATTTCCTAAAGCATTTTTGTATCGAAAAAAGTTTTCTTAGACTATTTTCGAAAAATATTAAGTAAAGCTTTTGCAAAAGGTTCTACTTTAACAGAGCTTTTGCACAAGCTTTTGTAAAATCAAAGGCTTTTATAAAACGATAAACTTTTTAAAAACTGTTACAATAAGGCGTTTTTAAAATTTTTTATAAAGCAAATAGCTTTTCTAGAAACTTTCTTAAAATATAAAGCTTTTTTGGCGCAAAGTTACTTTATATAAAATTTTACTAAAAATAAAAACTTGCTTTAAACGAAAAACTTTTGCATAAGTTAAAAAGCTTCTTATGTCTCACAAAAAGTTTTTTAAGACTTGATTCTTAATAAAAATAGTTTTTTCTTTAAGTTTCAGTAAAGCTTTCTTTGAACATGAAATCTTGTTAAAACCTCTAAAGTTTAGCAAGTTCTTAATTTTTAATTTAGTTTAAAACATTTTTTTAGTTTTTAACTAATTTAGTATATATATTTAACTGTACTTACTTGCCAGAAAAAAATATTTGTAATTTTCTTTGTAGTTTTTGCTGTCAATATGTTCTGCGTTTTGTAGATGTTGTTGTTGTTTCTTTTAGTATTTATATCTCTTCCAAAAAACTTTTTTAAATACGAAAGCCAAAAATATTATATTAACATAAATCTGTAAAAAGACATATGAAAAGACAAAAAAAATTTAGTTAGAAAGAAAGTTTAAAGATTAATTATTTGCGATAACTAGAAGTATAATTAATGTTAAATTAAAATACAAAAGAAAACTAATTGTAAAAAAAGGGGATAAACAGTGTAGATAAATCTAGGGGTTTTCAAAATTGTTTGTAATTATAAAGAAAGCTTGCTAAATTTAAACAATAAGTTTAAATACTACAAAAATGAACAAGTTTTAAGAAAAAAGCTTTATATAAAGCTTTTAATACATATAAAAAGTTGTGTTTAAAATATATGTATATAAAAAGCTTTAAAGCTTAAACAACAGCTTAATAAAGCTTTTTTGTTTTAGCTTTAGGAGTTATAAGTTCAATTTCTTTTTAAAATTATTAATTAAGACATTTCAAAACATTCGTATTTCCCACAAACTTTTAACTTAAAGTTAATGTCCTCATTCTAAGCCTCAAAGCCATTAGTTTTAAATAAAAAATAATTAAATCTTTAACCATATTTTTTTTCTTCAAACTTGTCTTTAACTGTCAAATGTAATTAATTTATTCTTGAAGCAAAAGCTAGAAGAAAAAAACACAATAAATAAGTATTTCTCCTAATTTCATATTCATTTTAAAAAATTTTTATAGATTTTAACTGACCAAAAAAAAAAGCATTAGTTAACATAATTGCTGGTATGTATCAATAAATGCTATCACAAGTTAAAACTTTTAACTATATATAAATTTTTTCTTAATTTCTAAAAGCAGCCTCCAACAACAATTTAAGCTTTGACTTAAAGCTGATATTGTTCTTTTTTTTTGTTTGGAGTTTAGTTTAACTGTATGTTGGGCTTGTATTTGTTGTTAACAAATAATATATTAAAATTTTTTTTGTATTTTTTGCTTATTTTAAACAATTTTCTTGTTGTTTTTAGTTTTTAGTAGAAAAGATAGAAACAAAATTCATTGACCTCTTTGAGAAAGTTCATTTGCTTCTGGTTTATTATTAAGAAATTATTTATGTATTTATTGGTTAGATGGAGTGTGTCTTTTATTTTATAATTATTATTAATATTTAATTTTATATTTGGGGAATTTTTGTTATCTTTGGCAGAAAATTGTTATTAGGGGGGGATTTAGTGGTTGTTTTAACGATAGATTTTAATGAAGAATTGTAAATGATTCTGAGAAATTGTAAACGGAATATGATTGTAGCAAGCAGTTGTTAAGTAAATATTATTTTAAATCTTTAAATTATACGAGGCCACCTATCTAGAAGAATAAGCTTTTGGTAAAGCTTTTTTAAAATTTTATTAAAGGTTTTTAAACACATTTTTGAAATAAAGAATACTTTTGTATAAGCTTTCTACAAAGAAAAAAGCTTTCATAAAAGCATAAAACTTTCGTATAATTTTTCTAAAACAAAAAGCGTGTCTTAAGTATCTTGTTTTCTTAAAACAAAAAGCTTTTGCGAAAGCTCTCGTTAAACAAAAAGATTTATAAAAAAATTGATTAAAGCAAAACATTTTAATAAAAGCTTCCTGTTAAAGCTATCTTTAAACAATTAGAAAATTATACACATAACTAAAAAAAAATTTTTAAAACATAAAGCTCTTGTATTAAACTTTTAAGTAGCTTATATAAAAGCTTTCTAAAAATAAAATAATTTTTCTAAGGTTTTCTTTAAAATAAAACGCTTTTCTTAAAGTTTTTTTAACAAAACACTTTTTTATAAGCTTGTTGCGTAAGCTTTATTAAACATGCAGCCATTACTACTAGTTTCTTAATAAATTTTACTAAAACAGCATTATAAAAGTTTTCTTAAAACAAAATACTTTTGCAAAAGTTTTCTTTAAAACAAAACGCTGTTCTAAAAGTTTTTCTTTACAATTTTTTCTAAAAGATTTTTAAAATCAAAAAGCTTGTACAAAACAAAATGTTTTTGTAAAAGCTCTAATAAACAAAAAGTTTTTGAAAAGGTTTTCTTAAAAATAAAAAATTTTTTAAAGAAGATTTTTGAATAAAAAGCTTTTCTTATGGTAAAAACATTGAATAACATCGTTGTAGAATATTGCAAACAGCTTTTTCAGAACATTATAAATATGTATTTGAAAACGCTTTTATAAAACAAAAGCTTTTGTGAAAGCTTTTATAAATTAAAAAGCTTTTGTGAAACCTTTTATAAAATAAAAAGCTTTTGTGAAAGCTTTTGTAAAATAAAAAGCTTTTGAGAAATGTTTGAAAAAGCTTTTAAGCAAATGTTTGAAAAAGCTTTTAAGCAAAAACATAGTTTCATAAAAAAGCTTGATTTCGTTACAAAAGCCGCGTTATTGTTTGTTCTTACAAATTCATGTGGCAGCAACTAACTATTTCAGCAAGTTCAACAATATTACGTTACTTGCATCCTAAATTAGCTTTATTTGCAAAAGCCTTTTAACAAATATTACGCTTTTTCACTAATTAAAAACAAAATTATTATCAGAAATGTAAGAAAAACTTTCGTTGAAAAAGCTGTTTTTATTTGCTGTTGCAACTAAAAATTTCAGCAAGTCATGCTTATTGTAATGAAAATTTTTCTAACAAAATGTTTTATAATTTTGTTCAATAATTTTTTATTTCATGATTTTCAAATTAATTTTTCTAAATTATTTTAATCGCTGGTTATTATTTCATGTAAATTTATTTTTAAAATAATTTTTCTATTTAAAATTTTAATTAAAACCACAAGCTGTCACTTTTTTTACATATCTAAAGTAAGTACCTGTTACTATTGCTTGTAAAATGTGTTGATTTGTTAATTATCGGGGCTATTTAAAATAGTATTCAGTTGCAAAGCTGAATGAAAACATGATTGACAGTTTACCTACTCTTTAAATAATAAAAGAAGAAAAAAAAAATAAACATTCCGTTATAATTATGACATGACATGCGTATGTCAAAATTAAGTGTAAAATATACTAGACCCTTTTTCCCTTAAGTACTTTCAAAATCAGTCATTCACAAAAAATTTTTTCTAGAGAAATGTATGATTTCAAACATTTATAAGAGGAAAAAGACACCCTCTCTAGCAACGGCGTGTGTGTGTGTGTGTGTTATGATCTATTTTAAGAAAACCGCGATCATAAAATTTTGTATAGTATTTTCTTTTCTTTTTGACAGTTTGTAAGTGTTTGGAGGTTGTCAAACTTGTAGTTGTTTACAACAAATTATGTTTAAGATTGTACTTGTTTATTAGTTTGTTCAATTATTTCCAGTAATTAAAACTAAGTTTTATTATCTCTTTCCAAGATGGCAATAAATTTTCCTTAACGGACAAACGTGAGAAATTGAAATTAATACAGAATAACTAAAATTTAAAGAAAACATTCCAAAAAAAAAACATGTTGAAGACAATAGAGTAAAAATTAGTATAAAGTTATTTTTTTCCTACATTGATATAAAAACTAAACTACGCCTACAAAGACCTAAAAACCTTAACTAAAAACCACTGTTAAAATGAGAAGTAATAAAAAAGATTTATGGCTTTATGACTATTTTCAAATGTCTACGCAATTTTTACCGCCTTTCAAACAAACACACAACAGCCAGACAAAAGTCGCTTACCCAGATCTGTCTTTTATATAGACTAGTAATCTCTTATAGGCAAATATAACAGATTCTTCTAAATATTACGTAAAAAACCAAGGTTTTTTTCTTTAACCCAACTACTGTAGAAAAACTAACTACCTGCCTTTGTAGGGAATTTATTTCATATGTGCTACTTGTACTGCTGTTGCTGCTGGCTGCACTGCACCGCCTGTTAATGTTACTAATTTTGAAAACTGTGTGAGAAATTGTCTTAACATTGTTCTTCATTGCTTTTCCTATAAATACAATTCAACTCCAGCTGTGTGTGTTAAAAAAATCCATCTGTGCTGTATGTTATACTAAGACTAATATTGTTTAATCTTTTTAACTACTACGAAATTTATTTAATTTTTTTTTTTGTTATTTTTTTTCTAATAGATAGAAATTATAGATATATTTTGTATTTATTATTAAACTTTAATTTTTCTAAATTAAAAACGCTTTCTCCTTTTGTATGAAATTATCATTATTATTATTATTTAAGAAACTTTTTTGAAAAGAGAATCGAGAAAGAAACACTTGTAGTTGAAATTTTATACCATTATTAATAATATTTATTACTTTTTGTTCGTTTTTGTTTCTTAGGTACCTTGATTATTAATTATTTTTATGCTTTAATAGTAATAATTAATAATTTTTATTTTATAACAAAAAAAAAAGAGAAATAATAAGGTAATACCAAAAATAATTAAAGTTTTAAAAAGCTTTGAATACTTTGACCACAGTGATTCTTAAAAATTTTGTCCTCTCTAGACGTAGAACTGGAACTGATCTAGAACTCAACTAGAACATACCTAGAACAGAACTAGAACAGAACAAGAACTGAACTAGAACTGAACAAGAATTGAACTAGAACTGAACTAGAACAGAACTAGAACAGAACTAGAACATAACTAGAACAGAACTAGAACAGAACTAGAACAGAACTAGAACAGAACTAGAACAGAACTAGAACAGAACTAGAATAGAACTAGAACAGAACTAGAACAGAACTAGAACAGAACTAGAATAGAACTAGAACAGAACTAGAACAGAACTAGAACAGAACTAGAATAGAACTAGAACAGAACTAGAACAGAACTAGAACAGAACTAGAACAGAACTAGAACAGAACTAGAACAGAACTAGAACAGAACTAGAACAGAACTAGAACAGAACTAGAACAGAACTAGAACAGAACTAGAACAGAACTAGAACAGAACTAGAACAGAACTAGAACAGAACTAGAACAGAACTAGAACAGAACTAGAACAGAACTAGAACAGAACTAGAACAGAACTAGAGCAGAACTAGAACAGATCTAGAACAGAACTAGAACAGAATTAGAACAGAACTAGAACAGAACTAGAACAGAACT